AAGCATCTCATCCCTTACCGGAAACCCAGGCAGCCGCACGGTCCGCTGTTTTTGTCAGTCGCCGCCGCCTTGTGCTGTCCAGGGCATCTTCTACCGTGCCGCGACTTCGGCTTGAGACCGTGCCATGCTATTCAACAGATCCTTTCCTCGGGTCCCCACGTCACTTGCGCTTACACTTACGAACTCCATTGCTTTCTCATCAACGCCGCTGAGGCTATAAAACCTAATTTTTTGGAACTTTGACCGGAATAAGCCAAGTGGATCGTCTATAGCAGCACTCTTTATTGCTCTGTATACAAACGTCACTGTCCTTGAAGTTTTTCACTTCTCCACTCCAATTATGGTGAAAGTGGGGCACAATGACCCGTCGAAACTCCTGAAGGGGAAGGTCTTATTGGTAAGACAGGAGTTTATCAGATGGTGGGGGAGGGTGGGGATGAGGTTGTGATAAAAGGTTTTTGAAAAAGTGCCTAGAATGGCAGCACATTTGAGGAGTTTTTTCGCTGCAGATTAGAGAAATAAATAAATAAATAAATTTTGCAGTGTTCCCTTTCGCCCTCCCTTGCTCGACTTTGGACTTTGGTGGAAGTGGAGCTAATGCGATGAAGGTGCGAAGGTCTCGGTGTTGTTACAAGGAGGGTGTGGCTGTACTTCACGTCGTCACCATGCTTGACCCTGTTTACAGATCTTACGTGGCCCAGTAGTCTACCACAGTGATCGTTCAGAGCAGTTGCTGAGATTGAAGGTGGCAGACGTTTTTTGTAATCATCAGAACAATTCGTTTTCCAATCTTAGTTCCTTTTCATCTGGCAGTGTTATGTGGAACGACTCCTGTATGCAGTGAAGTACGTATTGAGGGCATGAGATGTTTCATCGCTCTATACATAGCCCCAGAAGCGAGAGATTCCAACGCGGAGAGAGGGGTGAGAATTGTGCCATGGGCTAAAAAAGGATCTTAGCCTGAAGCAAATCCATCTTTGTGCTTTGTATGAGATCTGGTAAGGGTCCAGCGCCATTCACTGAGGTGACTCCACCTTCGAGGTAAGTATTTGAACTATATATGTAGTTATCACAAGAAGCTGAGCTGTGGGCAAAACTTTCGTCTCAGCCGGTATTCGTACCCGGATCTCTCCCTTTCCTGGCAGTTACACATTGTGTTGAGACATACCCGGAAACAAGAGATCCGGGTACGAATCCCGGCTGGGGCGAAAGTTTTGCCCACAACTCAACATTCTTGTGATAACTTTCGCAACGCGAACTGCGGCGTAAAACAGCAGCTATCCAGTAGAAAAACTGTTACTATATTTGTAATTTATAGTCAATACGCTGTCTTCCCCACTGAGGGATGAGTGAAGGTAAACGGATCAAGTTTTGTCCACAACAAACAAACCTTCATGCGTGAGGGTTTGACAGATTAATCAATCACAGTTTTCTGGGAGAAAGAAACTCGCACTAGAGGTCACTATTGACCTCATAAAAAATCCAGAAGTCCTTATTTTCTTGAGGAAGTCAAACGCATGGCGCGTTTCGGGGTAATTGTTCACAACATATTATCATACGTTTGCTCGTATGAACCAACGAGACTGAAATCTGGAGCGATTGGTGGAGCCAACTTGAATTATGGTTAGCCTCAGCATGTAGAGCTGATACAGTGGCACGATATGTAGGTTCCTCCCTATTACATGAATCGCGGAGTTAGGCCACGCCCAGATCACCCAATCCTCATCATTGAGAGCTAGTAGAGTTAGTACTAATTTGAAAAAATGGCAATGATAAAACTATATGAATGCTGGCACACATCCAAATGCTTCTACGATTTTGAAAGTTAGTCGCATACATGGCGCGTCATGAAGAGGTTGATGGATGCAACGGTCCTGATTCATTTTTCTCTTCCTCAGCTCTGATAGATTACAAAGCACCGAAGAACTGACTTTCCACTCAAGAAGAGAGACTTTTGATTGATTTTGCACTTCAGTAGACTTAGAAGAGCACATGCACATGATGCACTCCTTCATACATTTTACAGGCACCAAGTCGTGAATTAATTAGTAATGGACGTAACTTCGTTCACCCATAGCCACTATCCGGCAGCGCTACCACTCAATAATATTAGTGCATGGACTTTGCTAATGGTTCTTCTGGAAATAGTCCGTTTAGTAGTGGCAAAAGTGCAAAAGTGGGAGCGCTTAGCGCTACGAGCGCTATGTTCGTCGTTGTCACCGCTCGGTTCATTTGAGGAACGAACACACGAGGTTTCAAGAAGGCGTAGCCGTTGAATGGGGGGAGAAAGAGCACGTCCGATGGAGGAGGAGCAGTGAAGCGAAAAAAGCGTTGAGCGGAGCGAACACCAACGCCCGCGGTTGCACTTGGCCTTCGCGTCACTAAAGTGCGAGAGAGCAGGCAACGACCGATCGAAAATCGCTGCACTTTGGAATTCGGGCAGCCGCCGCCCGCTCTCAACGACGCTAAAAAAGACGGTCTCGACGGACGGAACGCAACAGACTTTCTTGAAGCTCATTAGTCAAGAGGCCTCGAAGTTCAGTGAGACTATGGAACACAGGGAAAAACGTAGCGGATAATCCTTCGCTTTGAAAAAGGGGAACTGGAATGAAGACATTCACCAGTGGGAAAAAATTCTGAGCGAAGTGAAGTGTTGTCGTCTAAAGAAGCGATTGGTTCTTGTTGTCATGGAATCCTTCAAAAGACCGTCCAGACAAATCGTTTATTGAGGCCGCACACGGGGACTGGAATTGCCCTACGAAGTGAGCGCGCGACGGTCTCCCCTGGAAAAGAACCAATCGCGAGCAGAACGTAAAATATACCAGGGAGTAGAAGGGAATAAGCTCAAAGGTCCCAGGGAATACCAGGGAGACCTGGAAGGGAATACGCTCAAGAATCCCAGGGACTCCCTGAGCCAAAATTTCCTTCGATTGGTTTCCGTAACCCAACAACGGTAAACAAGGATCCCTCTTTCAATGAAAGACAAGTCTTCTGGAAAGACTGAAAAAGTGTCGCGGAGACGCGTCACACCGCTTCCTTTTTCGTATCTTGTACGGACCAATGAAGCTCATTTCACCTAAGCGGAACAAGACTAACTGGATATCTACTTAGAAAATTATTATAAATGTCTCTGAAGATGATTCGTGCGCTAAATATTTCAAAATCATTCCATTGTGGAAAAAATTATCGAACGATGGCCCACAGTGTCACGTGCCAGCCAAAAGCGCGGCGCATCCTAACCAAGTGTTCGAAAGAGCCGACTACTCCGTCTTCTTCCTTAATACCCTGAGCGAGGGTTATTATTTATTGGCGAAAAACCAAGTAAATGACGTTCGGCGTTAGGCCGATGTCAGACTTTGCGAATCGCGCGATTCGCTACTAGCGATTCGCGCGATTCGCTAGCGTCCGCGGTCGCGTTGCGGTACCAGCCAATTGAGTGATTCACTGGCCGCGACGCGACCGCAGACGCTAGCGAATCGCGCGATTCGCAAAGTCTGACATCGGCCTTAATGAATTTGTCTTGCATGCGCCGCGCACAAGAAATCTACGACAGATCGATGGCATGACGAGTAGTCGGCCCAAACAGTGAATGACGAAAGCACCTGGTGCTCAACGCCAAGTTTTTTATTCTCTTATTGAGCGCATCGAACAATTCGTGAACATAGAATGAGGAACCCTCAGTTTGCCGGGAAGGAGCCCGACCGTGCGAAGGTTTTCAGCACGAATACTCGCCACCATCCACTGCTCCATGGTCACCCAAACTACCAAAATAGAACACCTTGACAACAAATTACAAAATAATGGGACGTTGTAACGGCTGAATTTCACGTCCACAATCGGCAGACGTTTGTTGTGGCCCCAGAAGAGCAGAGTGCATTCAGCGAGTTCCGCGACTTTAAACATTGTTTACGGAAGACGGGTTGTTTCTGATTTTCAACCCCATCACCCGGAGCTAACCGAATCGTCACGTCCGCTGCCTTCCGTTACTGTGGAACGTCGAATGCGAAGGGTAATCACTCATATAATCACTGAATTCTCGCATCAGTTATAGTGCTGTCAAAAACGGCTAGGGATAAAGTGGCCCACGCTGATCAATGTTCCTAGGATACGCCACGCATCAGAACTGGATTCAAAACTAAAGAGTCGTTTGTTGGAGATTCAGCACATTAAAAAAGGACAAAGGCTTTAGCCAAGTTCCAAGCCTCTGTTAGGGGCGATTTCTCAATGTAGTGCTGAGTTGACCCCGGAAAACAGAGAAGCTGGAAAAGAGCGATCTCAAAGGCAATGGAGTAACAGGAGCTTCTCTCGCCGAACCCTTGCTTCTTTACAGCCCTAACAGAAAGGTTAAGCATTTAGGATTACAAATTCTTTTGGGGAATGCGCCATGCATTTTACTTGCTTTCAGAATCGTAACTCTATTTGAAGGCGATTCGACCTGCAAAAGGAATTGTGGGCCAAGGCAATGTACTTCAAGCTCATCTCATCCTCACAGGAAAGCCTGGCAGTTTGGTACCAACTAGTCTACTGTGGAAGGATGGAAAGCTTGGCTTGCCTGTGCGAGTTTTTTAGAATTGCGACCATCACACGCGACGTTGTAAGTAGCGCCACTTGTCACCTTTACATTTCCGATCAATAAAATGCAATGATAACCCCTACTTTGAGGTTCTTTTGGGCATGAGGGTCTTATTGAAATCTGATTACGTTCGTGCCACAATTTCTAATCATGCGAATAAATCAACGCTGCGATGATTCAGCACAGTAATTAAGCTACAATTCGATAATTTCCGTTAACTATACGAAGTTATTCCAAGATTAATTACAACTTCAAAAAGTACTTGATTTGAAATCAGTAGTGTTGGCCAGATAGAAAGTACAACAGATTAAGTGCCATGCATTAGTGGATCGTTTAAAACTGTTTCATTAATCATGAAGCCCTTTAGGGGACCAACCAAGGGCTACCAAGCCTTGATAGAAGGTAAAGGGTAAGTTTTACAAACTAATCAATCTAAACCGACGATTCGAACTCGAGTGAAAACGCTACTGCATTGAGCCTGCCCGAGATAGTCATGAATAGCACGCGGGCCGACGGCGATACCAGCAGCGTCTTCTGTCAAGTCAACTATCTGTTCGGCGCTTAAACAGCTCGATTTGGACAAGTCTGCAGAATCAGACGACAGCCAAGACTGAAGCCTATTACTACACCTGAGATCAAGCGCGCGGTTCTCGGTGCCTGTTCTCGATCAGTGAAGACTTGAACCGTTACTTGCCACATTGCAATGGTCTGAGGCTCTGATCGCTGTGGACGCCTTCATAAGGCAAGTAATCTAGCTCACTGGCTTGAATTTCGATTCCGAAGCGTGTGCGTGAGAGCACAACGCCTGCAGGTTTGTTCTGATCCTCCCTTTATTTGTGAGCTGTTTGGGGATGACGCCCGCATTATAGCTCCTAAACACCGATTGGGCATTTGACGTTTGCGCTCTATCGAGCCTTTTGGAGGCAAACTTTGCATAGGTTATAGTAGCTCTTTTATCATGCCCGGAGAAACTGGGCCAATATGTCGTTTATAGAAATTTTGGCTGGATCGATTTTATACATTTCGCCTCGGACCATTGTGCATTTACTTTTTTATGGCCCACATATGCCAATACTACGTCATAAATACTGTCATGCTATGAGGAATAAGGAGAACAATGTTGATGAATATATCCCAAGAGAACCTTCTGGATGTGGCCGAGTTCCTGTACATGTTTACGAAAGAGAAGCAGACTGATTAAAGTGCGATCAAAGCAGCAGCCAAAATAACCTGAATTCCATGAAATGACCACGTTAACTATTCAGCGGGAAGGATGTTTGAGGGAATGAAGGTATGAGATGCATAGATCAATATGTTTAAGCGGTTTCACCTTCTCAGTCAGCTAATCAGTATTTTCTGAGTAAGAGTGCTTAGAGCACCCGGAAGAAAACAACTCCAAAGAGCTTCCATCACACCTCTAAACATGCTATCCCATCATGTGAGCTGCTCAGTACCTCAGAACATTCACTTTCCGAAACGAAGCCAGCCGTAGAACGGAATTCGGAATTCTTCACAGTGTCCTGTGCACTCCGATTAGTGTCAAACCGTTTGACTGAACGCTGGTTTGCAGAATTTCCAGGACTGGGTCAGCGATCAAACCACCCTTTCCTTGCTTCAGCACATGAGTTTTGCCCACCCGACTGACCCCCAAATTACTGGGCCTGAACGACTGCCGCGCTTTCTTTTTTGGTCCCGTGGAACAGGGGCAATTTCGCAAGCGCGGACACCGCAACTCGATGTCAGGCCACAACATCCCCAAGGCACGTTTTTGAGGCTGGAAGGTGAAACCAACCTAAAGCGAAGTCAGCTCAGCGTGTTCCAATATCGAACCACAAAACTCGGAAAGTTTGAGAATTGGTACCTTTCCTGCTTCACTTAAATAAGACCAGGGAGCTTCTATTCTTTTGAAGTGGTTCGGCACTTCGTATAACTTGTGGGTTGTTGATTTATCTCTGTGTTATCTCTCTACTCAATAAAATTTCGTGACGGCAACTTGCACTTTTCTCAGAACTCATTTAGCAGTTTGGCCAAAAAAATGCTTCTGGAGGATTCCTGTGCGCTCTTGAACTGATTGCTCATATCTGCCATAGTTTTTTTTTATGTTTCAAGACCTTTTAATTCCACAATTGTTTCATTGTGTTTTTTTTTCACATATCTTTAAAATCATTCACTTCATTGGACTTTTGTGGGTTCATGCCCATAGCTGGCTTTTTGTTATGTACGGTTAGTCCACGTGGGCTCACGTCTACGTCAATAAATAAATAAATAAATATAATAATAAATAAATAAAATAAATAAATAAATAAATAACAGAAAATCATTACTATTTTGAAGAATCGCTTGCGCAATGCCGCTGTCAGTAGGTACACAAAATAGGCAAATCCTGGGCGCTATCGGCACCAAACTAACGGGCATTGTGGTAGCAGCCTCTTTGGAACCACGTGAAACATTTTTAGTTGAAAATAATATACAAAGCCCTAGGCGGAAGAGGAAAGTCTCCAGGATGTGTGAACAAATCTCGTCTCCCAGAATTCCTGTCCCTTCTACTTATAAGTTCTGGTCGACGGCCACGTTGCGCAGTTCGCCCGATTAGACACGTTCTCTCGCGCGAACATTCACACTCGCATGCTCGAGCCGTCTGCGTCTCCGCCCATACAGCGTGCGTTGAGGATCTCTCAACGTGCAGTTGCGAACTGCGCAACGCAGGGTTGACTCTGCTCCCTTATCTCGCGCTAGCGCCCAAATAGAGCAAATAAATCAGTAAATGTTGCAAGTAAGAGTGTCTTTGAAAGAGCATCTAAAATATAATCGAATCTATATTTTGAGGGCCATCTTAGGCAATTTTGCTATCAATAAGAGAGGTAAGAAGCCCTTTTGCGCATAATTTGGAAAGGATTGCGATCGTATTAGTGCGAATGCAAGCGCCAACGCAGTACCGTTGCCCCATATACAGGTCGCCAAAAAAAAGAGACACTTCACTCAACATTCAAAACGGAATTATTTACGCGTCGCGAAACCAAACCAAATGACCCCAACTGAATATTGAAGAGCACGTTATAATCTATCAACAAGCTACACAACAGCCTTCTACACCGACGACATCAGAAGATTTTCCCACGGAAGCATTGTGCACGGTACGATCTCAACGAGGTCGTTGAGATACCATAGACGATTACGACGTCTCTGAAACGCAGGTCAAAAGCGGTTTTGCACATTCACAGCTAATGTCTCTGGGAAGCTATTCAACAATTAATTCACTGAGGAAATTGTGTAGCAGCTTCAGGTCGGAGCGATTTCGGTAAGCCTCGTTGAGCTCGACGGTGACGGCAGATGACGTCATATTCTGGAGACGGCAGGGGCAGTGAAGGAGTGCTTGCTTCTGTTTACGGAGGAACAACTAAGGGAATATAACGCCATAAAACTTTCATTACCATTCGGCTCCCTGTGCGACCATGGAAAAAGTGTCTCTTTTTTTCCACCCCTCTCATGTACTGAGAAAACACTGCCGCAATAAACATGATAATGTTCTACAGCGAAAGCCCAGTGTACTGTGCATCGTTAATGCCGCTGTTAATGAAAATAGCTGTATTGCAGAGATCCTTATTCAAATAGTGAACAAGGACCTTGTCAGCTAGCATCGTACTAATGGAAAGTGTGCAAACTGCTATCAGACCGATAAACTCCGCATGAATCCGAGATTAAATGTGAGCTTGTATTTTGCAAGAAAACTATTATCACCGATCCCTGCTTTAGTTTGCCTGGGTACGTGTCCTATAATCACCTTAGAATTCGCTTTGCACATTTAGTTACAATTAAGATTTGGTTAACGAGAAGAAATTTCCAAGGATTTCACTCAAAATTTAAAGATATCCTTTAAAGGAATTGAAACATTACCAAAATATAGAAAATCACTTAACTACACTTTGGTGGAGAAAACAGCAACGCATAATATATTGGCGAAGGTAAAGCGGTGACGGGAAAGCTTTGTTGGGGTTGGCGCACCACGCGCCAACTGCATTCACATTTCACATCGGCAAGCCGCAGGAATTTGCACAACACCGGAGGACCTTGCTGAGTCCTCGCGCTATATATGTACAGCGTTTTAACCCGACTTAGAGCCGACCTAATACCTGATCCTGGAGGAAAACTTTTTTTGCCCAGGGCAAGATTCCGAAACATTTCATCCCCAGATCACACGCGAGTCAAATGGGGCAACTTGCCAGGTACCTCTGGCGCATACCACGTTGGCAAATGGAATTCTGTGCAGCTTATTAGTTGGCACAGCTGCGATTCCAAGTGTTTACGACAAAAATCCTAGATCAAAATCGGGTTTCATCAAGATCGGCTTGAAAGGCTCTAGTTCTTCTAAAACTTATAATTCTTGGCAGGTATCGCTGTAAAAGCAAGATCTTCTGGTCCTTCCCCTTTGAAATTGAAAAATGAAGGGTAGCCGCTTGTTGCGCTAGGAGTGATTTCATGCCATGGATTATCTGTGACGAGGCTCTCAAAAACCGAGAAAAGCTGGCTAGGTAAAGTCGTGGCATGCTGGCAGATCGGATTGCCCATATAGCGCCACGGATAGTCGGTGGACGATACAGAAAGGGGTCTCACATTTTCCCTTCGGGTGCAGCTTTTGATGAACCCGAAATCGCCTAAAGGGTACCCTGAAGTCCGAAATCAAGGGGCGGAAGTGGTGCACTAGCGAGTTGCGCTGCTCAACACTGACGCAGTGCGGGGGTCAAATCCTGAGCCTTTTACCACTCAGGATAAGCAAAGCTCTCATCACTTTTGATGTCGGTAAATTGGTACCAGACTTGTCTGGGAGGATAAAAACACTGACTTGTACATCGGCTGGCCCCCGCAAGTCATTGTATAGGCCAAACCTCATCCTAGATGCTACCTAGATAGAATAGAGTGTGTGGCGTATCTCCAAAAGAGATTAATCAACGCTGACTGCTCTCCTTTCCTTGTTATCTAAAATCGAAACTTTCGTTATTCTTCGGAACTCCTACTTCAGGAAAATGACGTGTTCTTTCTGCTGCTGGAGGAAACTGATTCTCCGAGCCTCAAAATTTGCCATCGGATTTCAGAATAACTTGTTTTACCACAATGAACTTAGCGAGGAACTACGCATGTGAACGAGTTGATACGCTCGACTGAATCTGCAGAATCAGCTGCATACAAGTTATTTTATATGAAGAACCTTTATAGTAGCATAAAGGGCGTGCACCAAGGCTTGTACACAACGTGACGTCGAACCACCCTCAAGCTCCTAAATTGTCGCCCCCTCACTTACGATGGAGGTTATTCTTGCACTCTGTGCTAGCGAAGCGTAACAGTAGCAGCTTGCATTTGCTGTTGAAAATTAGGGAAACTTTGGCAATACGCCTTGATGATTACAAACCTACCGCCCTCATGATGGGGTCTCCAGATTATTTTTTTATTCTTCTCCATGCCACTGATGTACATGCAGCAGTGGTAACGGTGAAAAAATTCATAGAAATTTCCATAACTAATCATGTAATATCAGTATCGTTACAAATCCTTTTCCTATCACCTT